CTGGCTTTCTGCCTCAGATGGGGCCTTAGCAACTGGCTCCAAATTAAAATAAAGTGATGATGCTTTGCAGGGACAAAGTTTGAGGATTTTCAGTTGCCTGAGAGACTTTTGTGGGCTACTATTGCCTTTTGTGGTGTTAGGAGACTAAACTAATAATGACAACAGGAGCATCTCAAGATCTCTTCAAGTTCACCCTCATTGTCTTCATGTGAGGTACTTTTCAGTTTCTATGACAGTGTTTTGCAGCTCTGGCTGTACATTAGTACCACCTACAGGAAAAAAGGCCAATACATGGAACTTAACACCAACAAATTCAGATTAATTGAACTGGTTCGGGGCCCAGGCATTAGGGTTTTATAAAATCCCCCAGGTGTTTTTCATGTGGCCAAGGATGATCACAGGTCTTTTAGTGGTGGGTCTGCATTCCAGCTGTGGTGCTGATGGATGGGTAACAGAACTTTGAGGTCAGTGCCCTTGCTGTCTAGCTGCAGTTGTGGAGGATAGAGGGAAGATTGTGCTGTCTTGGGGTGGACCCTCCCATCTGGGAAGGAAATTTAAAAGAAGGTCCTACAGATGGAGGAGAGAAGGTCTACCTCTTGGGGCCAGATTGGGAGGAAGACAGTTTTCTGGGTGTTCATTACTTTGTTGGGGTGGAGAAGTGACAGAAACACTAGAGTTCAAGTCATAGTCCTTAAATCACACTTCCTGTTGTGAGCTCATTCCTTATCTGTTGTCCCCAGTACCCTCAATGAACATTTCCAATCCAAATCATTCCTTTTCTTCAGCTTTGTAGCAATTACAAAGTGTCAGGAGAGTCCTAGCTGGGCTGGTATCTTCTCTCCACTTAGTGTCTCCGGATGGGCAGTTACCCTGAGGTGCTTAGATCCAGGATGTTCTTTAATCAGACTATGTCTGAGTATCATGTTAATCCAAATGGTCCCAAGAGGACCCAAACTGTAATTCTAAAATTTTCTGGGCCCTTGAGATCTAGAATAAATTCATCTGAAACCTATGCCCAACCTCCATTTCTGGAATGGTAGCATGAGGAGCTCTGTAGATCAAGTCCTCAGGAAACAATAATTGTTCAAAAAATTTTCAAAAAGTCTCTGGATATTGTCCTAAGGCATACAAATAAATGAAGAAACATTCAGGAAAATCTACCTAATCCCAGTAAGTGAAAATTTGTGGCATTTGAGCCATGACCCATTCAGTCCCTCCTCTCTCCTCATGTCAGAGCAATGACTGATGCTACCATATGGGACAGCATGGCCAAGCAAATGGGATTCCATTGGACAGGGGATTTAACTCAGTGGTGCCGTGTCCACCTCACAAGCAAGCACAAAGTCCTAAGTTTGATCCCCGGTATGAAAAACCAAAACAAAACAAAAATGGGGCTCCCTCTCTCCTTAGCTCTTATGAGAGATGATATTTCACTGGAGAAAGAAAGAATATACCAGTTTACCTCTTCCTCCCCATTACAACTCCAAGTTGTAAAGGTTGAACTTTTTTTTTTTTTGGTTTTTTGAGACAGGGTCTCACTATGTAGTTGAGACTGACCTGGAACTCACTATGTAGCCCAGGCTGGTCTCAAACTCCCAGCAATCTTCCTGCCTCAGCCTCCCAAGACTGGGATTACAGGTGTTCGTCACCATGTCTGGCAAGGTTGAACTTTTTGTGAATCCAGAGAGTAAACAAACCCTTTCTCTATCTCAGTCCCACTATAGGGCGTATGCTCGACCCAACCCGTGACAGGCTGAGAATACTGTGGCCCTCATTACCCTAGCCCCAGCTTGCTCATAGGGCAGGGGTTCCAGGTTTGGAAGAGGCAAATTCAGAGGACCAGAGGCTACTTTTCCTGCACAGAACTCTGCTCAAAAAGCAGGGTGTCACTAAGAGAAGTGAGCGCAGTTTCACAGCAGGGACTCAGATGTTATACCTGGTCAGTCCATAAGAACTCCAAGGATCACCAAAGAAAATGACTTTATCAATGGGGGAAAGTTTTAGCATAATGGTACTCTAAACACAACAAAACCCCCAGAGAGGCAGAGAAATCAGCATTTAAAGTTGTTAAAATGTAATACTTAAATGTAGTTTTCAACAAAAATTCTGAAGTATGCAAAGAAACAGGAAACTATAGTCCATATGCAGGAAATAAAAAAAAATCAAACAAGAGAAACTGGCTGTGAAATGTCCCAGATATCACACTTAACCGACTTAAAGGGCCAAGACTTCAAAGTGAGTATATTCAAAGAACTAAAAGGAATCATGCTTAAAAGTAAAAGAGGGTGTGATGACAATGTCTCATCAAACACAGAATATTAATAAATTATTTTTAAAAGAAAACCTGGAATTGAAAAGTATAACAACTTCTCTACAAAGGCTCAACAAAGATTTGAACTTGCAGAGTAAAGAATCAGCAAACTTGGAGATAAACAATAGAGATTAAGTAATCCAAAGAACAGAAGGGAAACCGAGTGATGAAAACTGAACAGAGCCTGTAAAACCATTTATGGGAAACCAGGTGGTACACAAACACACACTCACTGTGTTGTTTAGAATGCTGGAGGACAGGAGGGAAGAGAGGAGCAGGAAAAGTACTTGAAGAAGCAATGGCTATAAACTTCCCAAGTTTGATTAAAAAAGTTACACACTTAAAAAGCTCAGCAAATTCCAAGTAAGATAAACACAAATACATCCACACTCAGACATACTGTATTAAAATGCAGAGAGACAAAGAGAAAATTTTGAAAGCATAAGAGAAAAATAATGTCACAGAAAGGGAATACCAATAATATTAAAAGCTTGCTGCTCATCAGAAACAATGGAGGCCAGAAGACAATAAAGAAAATCTGTCGGCCAAGAATTTTATGTCCAACAAAACCATCATTCAAAAATGATAGCAAAATAGATTGCCCGATAAACCAAAAACTCAGAGGATTTGTTGCCAGAAACCTGGCCTTGTGTGAATCACTATTGAAGGTTCTTCAGGCTAGATTTAAACAGCCCTTGTGATAATGTGAATCTTCACAAAGCAAAATCAAAATGAACAAATAAAAGAAAATATGAGAATAATGTATCTCACTAAAATTAAATTTTTATAAATCTGAAATAGATTCTGACAAGCTAAAATGAATATTGTAAGTCATGTGGTGATCACTAAAAAATGCAAAAAGTAAAATGAAAAAATCATTAAAAGAATTAAAATATTATACTAGAAATTATTTATTAATGCAAAAGAAAACATTAAAAGAGGAATAAAAAATAGAAGAGACATGACACAAACAGAATAAAAGTAGTAGCTGTATATCAGTCAGATTGGATAAAAATCAATATCCAACAAAACACATTCTTCTTAAGCACACACAAAATACTGTATTTTGTAAAACAAATATGTTGGACCATAAAACAAGACTCAATAAAATTAAAAGAATTAAAATCATACAATATTCTCTGACTACACTGAAATAAAAGTAGAGGCTAGTAAAAGAAAGAAATGGGAAATTCAGAAATATGTAAAAACTGAACAACATACTCCTAAATAATGAATGAGCCAAAGAATATCACAAGAGAAATTAGAAAACACTTCTGGGTAAATGAACACAATAAAGAAAGCTGACAAAACTAAAAGTTGGCTTTTTAAAAATATCTACAAAATTGTCAAAACTTTAGCTAAAAAAACTAGTTAGGCTGAAGAAGAATGTGGGATTTATTAAAATTTACTAAGATGAGGAATGAAAGTGGGACAGGCTACTTGGAAAAAAAATAGAAAACCTGAATAGATTTATAACAGCTAAAGAAATTAAATTAGAATTAGTAATGACAATGACCCACACAGAAAAGCCCAGACCAAATCTTTAAAGAAGAATTAATTACACAAACAGACTTACTAGATACCTACCTGGTTCATCTAACAACAGAATAAACATTCTTTCCAGCAGTACATAATTTTTTCTCCAAAATAGACTACAGACTAGCCCATAAAGCATGCTTAAATAAATACAAAAGAATCAAAATTATCCAACACATATTATCAGATGATAGTGCAGTGAAACTAGAAATCAATGGTAAAAGACACCACAGAATTTATGCAAACACAAGGAGATTAAATTATATATATCTATATATATGTATATATGTATTTTTTTAAGATAGGTTCTCACTATGTAATTCAGACTAACCTTGAATTCTCTATGAAGACCAGGTTGGCCTCAAACTCATGGCAATCCTCCTATTTCAGCCTCCCAAGTGCTGAGCTTA